CACAGTGTTTGAGGAGTAGAAATGCACACGTGAGCCATGATAGTGAAGTGCTGACAGTGCTAGATGGTTCTCTCCGGGAGTGAGCAGCCTGGCTTTCCTGGGGCAGGTCAGTAGCACCACTGCTGTGGGGACACACTGCTGTCCCAGAGGAACTGAGTTTACCGGATTTAGTCTCTGTTAGAAGCAGGGAAAGCCTCCTCGAGCTAAGAATACTCTGTAGACCAGGGCCATCCCTTCGTTCTCTCAAATGAACACTGGGATCGGTTACTGCTTGATAAGTCAGCAATGCTTGGCTTAGATGTTCCTTTAACCACAGGGACTTGAGGAACTGAAGGCAAATGGAAAATGCCTCTGGATGTTGTGAGGCCCAGAACTTGTGGAAATAGTTTGAATGCATTTCCATCCCTCCCCAGGCAGCTGTTTTCTCTCTTACACTAGTATGTCCCCCACATCCCTGTTCCCGAGGCCTGCCAGCTACGTACATCTGGGTAGTTAGGAAGCAGGTGATTCCTGAAGAAGAGACACCGCATTGCTGGAAACAAAGGTCCCAGAAGAGTCACTGGAAGATAGGCTGGCTCTCCTGGAGTTGTTTGTTCCGTGAAGTACTGCAGCATCTTTTGGTTCTCATGAAAGAAAAAGAAAAATGCTGTGACTTAGAGCTTGGCTCTGTTCTTTTGGCTTTTCCTGTCTAACCCACGCTGCACTGACAAGTACCACATCTGTCTTGACAAGCTCCTTCGCCAGTGACTATTCATTCATAACTTTCGGCTGTTGCAAAAATCTTTATTTGTTACTCTATCTTGTGAACAAGAATGCACAGTTTGATTTTGAGAGAGACACTGAAATCAGCACAAGTGCTCCCGTCTTTGCAAGTGTCTCTGTCTGAGAAAGATGACTATTTACTTTTTAGTGGACTGGAAGAGCATTAAAGTATTTATTATTGCCAAAAAAACATAAATGGAAATTTTCTGGGAAATACAATTTAATTTTTAAGTTTTGGATTCATTTCAGTGTTGGTAATTTCAGTGCTTCTTAGACCACATTTATCAGGGATCACTCTGTCCACACCAGATGTAGCAGTAACTTTGTCATTCTCTCCTTTGGAGGGTTCCTTTTTTATCTGGTCATTTACTTCCCTATCTATTGGCTCAATCTTATTCTCACTTTCACCTTGACCTCTTAATGATTGCAATACAACTGAAGTTGTTTCTACTTGCATTATAATGAAGTCTTGTAACTTAACTCAAAAAGTTCCAAGAAAGATGGATGGCTTATTCTGGTTTTACATTAGAAGGAGAAATGAATAATCTCAGACCAAGGGCATGTCTTCGCAGAAGACAGACAATTTGCTGAAGGAACTGTCCCCTTGGAGGTCTGTCAGGGCCCTCTGTGGGTGAATGTTTCTACGTCAAAGCTCATCCCTTGACGTTGTGAGCTCTGCAGGCTGAGGAGAAGGAGCTGGAGGAAGGAGCACTTCACACCTCCTGCCCCTACCTGAGAGCAGTTGGGCAGAACCAAAGCTGCATAGCAGCCACCCTCACAGTCTCTTGTAGCCCGTCCCACCTGGAGTCTGCTAAGCTCCACTACCTTGGGTTGCTGGCATCTCTCTCCACCCTGTTTTATATCTGAGACATCTGGAGGCAGTTTTTAAAAATCAAAGGGTTTTGAATAGCAATCACTATTAAGTATATTAACTAAAGTCACCGGTGAAATCTATGACTTAGGTCCCCCCTGCCACTGCTCCACCTACTAACCGTGCTCTTCTACTCCATAGAACAAGGGGACTGGTGCTTATTTGTCTTAGAGAGAGACGTATTTCAGAAGAATTCCATTGTCTGAAAGTATCACCATCAGTACTGAAACTATGTGTGCAGACTCATGTCTAATTCCATTAGCTCTTTGTCACAAGCACTCAGATGCTAGGAGGAGGGTCTGAATCCAGGCTAACCCCAAATCATTATACATTTGGATCAGTTTGCCCTTTCTCAGAAACGCTGGCCGGGATTCTCTAACGAGAGTAGCAACTCGTTGTAGTTTTGTTTGGGGTGGAATGATGGTACCCACTTAAAACAATCTCCCTGCGGGTATCACAAGAGAGATGCAGTGCATGTTTCTGTGGAGGGGCTGCAGGGGTTGGGGCAGGAGTTTATTGGACACAGAGGTTAGTTAAAACTGAACACTTACAGTTAACTTGGTTTCTAATGAGATTTATTTCTGCTTAGATATCACTGCAACAAGAATGGCTTCACCCCGTCATCGAGGCACTTTCGCACTACACCAACACCTGCTTACTCAGAACAAATAAACCCGTCTTTTCATAGGGGATAATTTTTGCTTGGCCCATCCAGTTGGATGGTTTTGAGGTCAAAGGAGGTCTTGTGAAGGGCCTTTCTAACCTGTAAGTAACAAAGACCTGCACCAATGGTTTTCAGATTTTACCTGCAGTGCTTTTATAAATGTAGATTCTCAAGCTTTTGTCCCCCACCCCCATGTAGATAAGTATTTGGTAATTTTAAGTTGGGCTTCAGAAGCCTACTTAATAGGGAGGCATCTGAGTAGTTCAGAAACATTCTCTGGAAACACTGAGTATTATTATTTTGTTTTGTTGCATTATTTTTTAACTGTGTCATGACGGGCAAAAATGAACACTTTGATAGTTCACTTCATAGTCACTTAGTTATTTCATAAATTACCCACATAAAATTTATTTCAAGTACTGATTTCTAACTTAGGACTTGTATGACCTACAGTCCCTCATTGTCAGGTAGTGAGTGCCCAGATTCTTCTCAAGAATACTATGTATCTGAGGCTATAAATGTCTCAAGTTTTTGTAACATTTTATATTTTACAAAGTGTCTTCACATTTATCCAACCCTCATTGTTCTAAACAAAGTGTTTCCATCCCACAGTGCCACTTTGATAAGGTAGATTATTGAAAATTGATCATTTAAAGCTAAGGACTGCTTTCTGTGGTCTGAATAATCACTGCTAGCATCTTTATACCTCCAGCCAATTCATCCTCTTAACTTCTAAGGTGCTGGATCAGCACCAGAGCTCCCTGTTCTTGGCCCTGATTAAAAAGAGAAGGAAGAGAAGAAAGGCTCTTAATACTGCAACTTTAGAGCAGAGTGAAAGCAAACCAAAGGTGCATACTGGGGGCTGCATGCTGGAAATGGCAAATGACAACAATTACCTCCCCTTGTTCGCACACAGACTTCCTGTGACCTGTGTGACCTTGGGCAGTTTCAGAGATCTGAATTCTGTGCAATAGAATTGCCCCTCTTCTGCACCAGCGGCGTGCACTGGCCTGAAGAAGGTGCTGTTTCCCAGGAAAAGGGTTTAAATCCCCCCAAGAAATGCATAGGGCTGCAGTTGGGAGAAAAAGTCTTGCTCACCAAGCGATTCACTCTGCACACCCTGCCCCTCTCTGCTTGTCTCCTCTGAGATTTTTGTTTAAGATAACTTTCAGCATCTCTTTTTAAAGGTCAGATATGAAGGAGAATACTTTGTTTGCCTTGCTAATCTTGGGACAAACAGTTTATATCCAGTGTAGCTTCCTGTCTTTGCTGACTGGTTATTGGAGGGAATTTCTTCCTGTAAGACTGTGAAGAGGCTCTAAAAATAAACAACATGGTTGGTTATTGGTGGGAACATATGTGAGCAGATGTCAGCTGGGAGCAGCATATGGTGGCAACATGATAGCCGCGTGTCCTTATAGAAAGAAGCCCTGGTGCTGGGTCTTCATCTTCTGTGCCGCACCAGCCAGGCAGAGCCCCGTGTCTCAAATAAAAAACACTCCGGCTAGAAGGTGTAACACACACATGTGTGAAAATCTGTCACTGGGCTCTTGTTAGTGAGCTGGATGTTGGAGATGGTAAGTGCCAGGGTATGGAAAAGGCCTTCATTATCCATTTTAAAATAGAGTGACAGCCACAGATCAGGCAGAAACAAGAAAAAAAAAAATGAGAGGGGAGTCTCAAGTTTTCAAGCTAGGTCAATCAAGGCTTCTTTTATCACCTGAGTTACATAACTAACGCGATTGCATTCCTCGATCATCTTTTCTTTGTCAATGTCTTTTATATATATCATTTCATTTAAATTTTATGAAAATTCTCAGGCTAGCATGGTGCCTGCCTCATTTAACAGACAGAGAGACTTGGGCAAATTCAGGGGCTTGTGTGAGAATTCACAGAGAACAAAAGACAGAACAGGAATTTTAATGTTTGTCTTCTCATGCAAAAGTCCTCTATTTGTTGACCTTATCACAGATAGGAAAGCCTTTGAACACCCAGTGGTATTTTTCTCTTCAGTGTGAAGTATTTTTTGATGTATTTTTTTTTCTAAGACTATGGTGGGCAGTATCGAAATTGGGTTGGGTGTCACTGTAAAGAAAGCAAGTTCAAAATTTCTGGATGTGTGAAGTGTTACAGAAGTAGACGTCTAATCCATTTCAAAGAGCTCTACTTTTTTAAAACTATAGCTCAGGAACCTCAAATCAAGATACAATTGTATTTTTCACTCATTCAAGAAGGAGTTTTCATGTGTGGGCTGGGAATGGCGACAGGTGGTTTTAAGAACGCTGAAATCTAGGCCAGCCAAATGAAAAACAAAGTTTTATTCTTAATAGGTAGGCTGTCTTTTGTCAAAGGAGGGCAAGGCCTTTCTTATTCATCTTTAATATAAATCAAGGTATTTATCTTACCATTTGGGTATATAAATTGTACATTGTTATTTTAACACTAGAGCATGCTAAAGGGAAAACCAAATTCAGAAGTCTGACTGCTGGTTAAGGGAATCCAGAAGATTTGGTACTAGAATGCAGAATCCTACACAGATCCTTAGTATGTAATCCCCCGGCCCCAGGTAGCAGGAACCTTATATTTCTGGGGGAATGTAAGAATGTTCAGTAGGTCCGTCTTCTGCTTTGAATCTTTGTATAGTTCTGTGCTAGGCATCTCTTCAGTAAAATAGCTAATGACTGTGCTTTTTAAAACTCCTAGCTGTCTGCCCAGTTGTTACAACACCCTCTGGCTCAGTGGGCAGCTTGTGCACCAGACAGTCCCAGGTGCTCTGTGGGTACCTTGGTGAGTACACTCGTCTGCTTTATTCCTCGTTTGACATAGTTATCTCGAGTCCATCTTTAGTATTTGTTTCCTGTGGGGAACTTGTCAAAGGCAAAATAGGATTCTGAAATCCAGCCTTGTAGCTGAGGGGTCACAAGGGTGCCTGGAATTTTCTGGTCTGAGTGTATATGAGAAAAACTGATGAAGAACTTTGAAGCCATACAATGACTTGATTGCAGTATGTGAAGGCACGATTGGGGGTGGGGAAGGAGATGTGTGTTCCAGAAGTCACAGAATGATTTGAAATATTGATCTGCTGACCCTCATGGAAGCTACTTTCTGGAGGGTCGACCATTCAGTGTGATCTGAATGTCAAGGGAACGTTCCTTTTTATTTTTGTATCTATGTTCTTATTTCTGACACACAGTAGTTGCTCAGTTAATGTTTCCTATACTAAATTAAGGGGAAAGGAGATTTTTTTCCTCCTTTAAGAGTGTAGAATCAGAGGGAGACCCTTGGGCAGTTATGTTGATACTGTTATTTGTGACTTTCCTATTGACATGTCTGGGTTGCATGAGGAAAGGGACTGTCATGGGTCAGGCCCTCAGTTAACTGCACCTGGGAGCTACCCCTTGCTCAGCTGGCTTAGCCCTGACCTTCAGACCAAATGCATCAGAGCCAACATCACTTGATAGGCTGAGGGTCACCACAGCCGGAGGTCTGCACCCTTTTCTAATTTGGGTCATTATTTAAGTCAGTGAGCATGTATTGAATGCCTACTGTATGCTGGACAATGAGTCCACAGCAAAGAATAGGACATGAGTGATCCTAACACTCAAGGAATTCAGTGGCTCAGATTGCCCTGAACCCTGCTCAGGACCTGCAGTCCTGGCTTTGGCTCAGACATATTTCTGAGGCTCTGAGGTGGTTTGGATTGTGTGGATTCTTAGTGTGGGTGGAGGTCCTGGATAGAGACAAAGGAAATGTTTTTATTATCCTAGGAGAAGCCTGGTTCACTGGATATCCTATTCTGCAATTTACTGTGCCTGACATTGCTTCTTAGAAATCGCTGTAGTCTATTTCCTGTGGCCTAAGCTGGGGTTTCTTCCAAAGGGACTGATTTCGTTGAGAGTATACATTTATTTTAGTACAGAAAGCCTCAGAGTGGCCAGTAGCTGCAATGTGAATAATAAGAGTGAAAAGTTAAAGACGTGATCTTAAAGCTCCTTTTTGTGAGACATTATATTTTTGTTTTTAAGTTCTAAATTTTAATTTGATTTCATTATCTAAACCAATGAGTTAAACGTCTTATATTTTACTACAAGAAGACTGGCTATTTGGAAAGGAAAAAGGAAGGCATGGGAAAAGGAAAACATTTATTGAATACTCCGTATGTCCCTGGCAGGTAAAACGTATCATCCTGATTTTCCTACACTGGTTGATCAGGAGGGCCAGGATGACAATCTCCATTTTCCAGGAGATTGTGGTTTGGAGAGGTAAATACCTTGTCCTTGGTCATACAGCAAAAATCTGAATTTAGGTCTGGCCTAGAAGCTACTGTACTACCACTCCCGGCCCCCCCCCCCCTTTTTTTTGCTTTTCCTCTGGAATCCTCACCCATTAATTTTCTAACTTTCTTACCTGCTACTTAGGATTAATTTCTTTTTTATCTTTTCCTCCCATAGTAGAAAAGTTGAGAGGCCTCCCCTGGTTCTTTGGGTGGTTTCTCTTTGTAGACATTCCTTCTCACTTGGGGTTATTTTCGGTCACTTTTGCTGCAGGCTTCTTTCTTTCTTTGGTGAGAAAACATTGGAAACCCACCCTGCTCGTCGGAGAGTCTGGGAAAATCAGGAATGTCTCTGAGGGTGTGGAAGGGGAGGTAATGCACACGTTCCACGTAGATTTCCGTGCAGCGAGTGGGGAGCTCTTCCGCCCTACCCTGCCTGGACAGGCTGCGGGAGAACCCTGCGGACCCCTTCAGACCTTCATGCAAGACAGCTGAGCAGTGGGGCTCTGCATTTTTTTGTCTCTGTTCTTAGAAATAGTAATTGAGTAAAAATGTAAGTGAGCGTATGCCAGGGGGCAAGCGTCCAGGGTCAGGGTGAATTTCTCCATGCTGAGCGTGATTCTGAACACTCGTTAAGTGGAGCCAGCCGCTGCCAAGCAGCTCCAGGGCCATCCCTGTCACCTTGCATGAACTGCCTCTCCATTCCAAGGAGATGCTGGGACTGGTTGGAGGGAGCGTGAGGCCTGTGGCGCCTTCGCTTTTCTCACTCTCTAACGTGGGTGCTGGTGATAACGACGTGTTCTGGCCCCAGTGATTAGACTGGCAATGCTGATGCTTCTCAGCTTTCAGTAAGATACCCTGAGGATGAAGTAGTCCTTGCTCCTCACAGCCCACGTGACTGCAGAAGCATTTTTATCTTTTTAAATTCATTACCTTCAATAATATTGCTTAAGACCGGGGTAGTCAGCCTACACATTTAGAAGAAGCTGGAAGATATGCAGTAAGCAGTGGAGACGGCCTCTCTATGAAGGAGCAGTTAACAGTCATGAAGGTGAATTTAATTTTTTAAAGAAGTACTTACTGCATCAGAGGCTTTTAAGTGGCGGGGTTAAGATGGAGACATGGTGTTTCACAAGGCGTGGTCTGTATTTGTGTCTCCTGAGGCATCCCGCAGACTCCCTGGCCCTACCTCACACCTGCCGAGTCAGAGCCACCGGGCTGCGTGGAGCTGCATTTAGACAAGCGCTGCAGGTGCTTCTGACCTCGCTGAGGCCTGCAGCTGCTCCCGGCGGCAGCGAGGCTCTGATTATGCCCATCTGTTTGCTTAGCCAACCACATGCAGGGAGGCAGATCCCGCGGGACCTGTGTTTGATCAGCTGGTCCTCCGAGTGTGGGATCGTGAACCCGCAGGCCCACTGGGGTTTTGCCCTTTGCTTTCCATTTTCCCAAATGAGTATAAATATTGAGGTAGACTTGTAGTTAATAGCATCACACGTAGCCCTGCTCCCTGTTTGCCACAGAGGAGGACAGTGAGTGTGCAAGGAAGTGAATTTATCATATGGGGTGGGTGACAGGTGCCTTTTTTGGAAGTTACAGACATAGTAAATTCCTGCACTCAGGAGCCTTTAACCGGGCAACCGGGGAGTGGGAGGGGGGATTTGAAGCTTCATGCTTAATGTGCAACATATTATTTGATGTATAAAGTAGCGTGTAATCCCCTGAGGTAGCATTTGGTCAAAGCACTGCTGACTCTTCATGGCCTGAATCCCATCCTGAGAAGACATTCCATGGGGTAAGGCCTTAGCCAACAATGGAATGTAAACTCCACTGTCTCAGCCAAACTCAGTTTCGGGTAACTGCAGATTTCTCTTTCTAAATGGGTTTTTTCTAAAGATGCATTAGAGCTGGTGAGAATGTGACCAAGCTATTAAAAAGAAAAGTTAATGATAAATTGCTTGGCATTTTCTCTGCAACCCTGTGCCTTCTGGTATTCTGATGGTGTTTTTGAACCACCCGATACTTTGAATCCAAACATAGGGTATGACTATTTTATAACTACTGTAATTGTCTTGACCATTGAACTATTTAGAGAAATACCTGGTTCTCCTACATGTTCTACGTCACTAAATGGCCCACCTGCCTATTGAAATATGAGAAGAATTTTGTATTCTTCCTTCATATTGGGTAGTGTTAACTTTCCTTCCCGAAAACCTTCAGATAAAAGAGCTCTACATTGACTATAAATATAGATATAATTTTGAAATAAATGACGAATGTATACAGAGATTATGAGAAAACAAGGGCAACCAAGGGGGCATTCTTAGGATATATGAGTTCATTCAACAGCATTTGTGGAGTATCTGCTTACATCAGGCACCACTCTAGCGACTAGTGATACTATCAGTGAATCAAATAGTATTCACTTTTCAAAACTCCTTGCCCTTTGGGGAGCTTACATTCTGGTGGTGTAAGACAATAATAAAGATTAAATAAGAACGTCAAAATTTGATAGATATTAAAGAAGAAAGTAGAGATTGGTCGGGGGAGGCAGAGGTGAGGAGCTATTTTAAATAAGCTGGGCATGGAAAAAGCCATTTAGAAGGTGGTGTTTAAGCAGAGACTTAAAGGATGTCAGAGAGTAATCTGGGGCTGTCTGGAGAAAGGTCATTCTATGCTATTCTGCTCTGGCAGAGGGAATAGCAAGGATTATCAAAAGTGTCCTAGGAGATGAGATAATTAGGGATGGGTGATGTGGGGCCTTGTAGCCAATGGTGAGATCTGTGGCTTTTCCTCTAAGTAAAATGGAGAGAAGGGTGTGTTTTAGCCAGAGGGTCACTGTGGCTGTTAAGTTGAGGATGGTACATACTTAGGATGGCCAAGGTGGAAGCAGGAAGTCTTTGGAAGACATTGCATTTTGCGTTTTGCCATTCATTAATGACATTGTGCAGCTGCATTTCTAGGTGACAACTGAGCCATAACAATAATCTCAAGGACGGGTGCCATGGCTCACACCTGTAATTCTAGCACGCTGGGAGGCCAAGGTGGTAGGATCAACTGAATTCAAGAGTTTGAGACCAGCCTGAGCAAGAATGGGACCCTGTGTCTACTAAATATAGAAAAACAGGGTGGCGCCTGTGGCTTCACTAGGTAGGGTGCTGCCCCCGTATACTGAGGGTAGCAGGTTTGAACCCGGCCTTGGCCAAATTGCAACAACAACAACAACAAAAATAGCTGGGCATTGTGGCAGGTGCCTATAGTTCCAGCTACTCAGGAGGCTGAGGCAAGAGAATTGCCTAAGCCCAGGAGTTGGAGGTTGCTGTGAGCTGTGAAGCCATGGCACTCTACC